TGGCTCACGAATTGGCCGCTCTTTCTCAAGGTGCATATTGCAGCAAAGAACGGAATAATCCTTAAGAATATTAGTAAAACGTCTTATATCGCAAATTTTGTCTGTTAGTCAGTCAGGCATTAAGTGAGCCAACTATCACCGTTGTATGACAATGGTTCATTAAAGAGATGATGAGATATGAAAACGAATAAAGCAATTAAGTACGTAAAATACAAGTTGGAAAATAGGAGGGAAGGGAGTAAAGAAGTGAGTTAGTCTGTTAGTCATTTAATGACTTAAATAAACAACCAAGTATGCATGTAGATGAGTAAATGTACAAGGGGCCGTCTTCTTCCTCGAAGCATAATAAGGTCACTTTTACGCTCAAATCTTGTTCGACAATGTCTTTCAGCAGTAACGTTGGCTCCTGCAACACCACTCATACTTTCCTCCATTTGCAGTACCATCCCGACTAGATTTTACGGCAGCGAGTAATGCCCTATATCTCTATGATAGAGAACAGCTTCGTAAACCATGCGACAAAACCGTGATACCTCGCCTTTGAAGAATGTGTTCAAATGGAATATTACATGATCAGAACTTGATGCTGTGCATAATAACGATGGCATTTGATCCTTGTGCTTGAGTTACTAGTTAGTGACAGAGGACCTTAGCCAGAATTGTGGCCGCGATTGTAAATGGCATGTCGAAAGCTCTTAACAAATTCTCATTATTCTGCTTCATCCTATGCAAATTCTACAGTTAAAAACGAGGTTCGGTTCTTCAGAATGAGTCAACGTCGTTGTTGAAGTACTCCTACCTCCTGATTTCCTTATTTATCTCTTTATTTTTTAAGTTTCCTTGTTAAGAAAATTGATCGCAGTTGCTCGATTGACAAAGCATCCGACTCAGAACCGAGAGGTACGAAGTTTGAGCCCCATTTGGGTCACTCGCCTTTATTCCTTCCGGGGTTTGGTAAACGAATGCCACTCAGTGGGAAAGCAATTGAAAACTACACACTCTGCTTGCCACATAGTTGCTGTCGACTCTGCCTTTAGAATAAAGCATTGTGGCTGATTGCATGGAAACTGAAATCAGCGCTCAACAAATAACTTCATGAAATATTGCTACCAGAAATGAAAAGTTAGGGAAGAGGAACATTTCAACTGTTGCAAACTTTTCTTCTTTTCGTTCTCCTTTGTTCTTATGAAACACATAAATGTTAGTCAAAATCTCGTTTCCAATTAGAAGTTCACCTCACTTCTCAACATAAGTACACTCTCTTATTTAGCGCAATATTTCTAGTTAAATATGTCTTATCCTGTGATGTTTTGCCAACACATGATCTTTCACAATAACTATAAGACGACCCCTTTCTCTGAACGATTCTCATGAGAGATTGCGCTACATTCGTTGAGGTCTCCTTTCTGTTATGGTTGTCCTTGACCTCTTCTTCATTGAAAATGCAATTTCAATCAGCAGAATATGGCTACTACGATTTTTGTTCATGACTACTATAAGTCGTTCAAGTGGGGCATCGCAAGGCTTTAAACAACCCTGCTTCGGCTAGAAAAAGTTATGTAAAACGTCAGGCCGCGAAGCTGATGACCGGAAGTAAAGATTTTGTCAAGGAAAGGGATCATTCAGGGATTCAGTCTTCAAAAAGTGACCTAAGTGGCTTTTCCCGGTTGGAGTCAAGTTTCAAGTTACTTGTCAGTGGCCAAAAGGACAGCAAAACAGCAAATTCGGTGAAGTCGCAACATTAAGAAATAAAAGTTTAATGACCATGGTCGCTGAATGATTCAGCACCACCATCATTGCCATGAACGAATGCATTGCGACTTCCTGCTCACGAGCCTGACATAAGATTGGGTTTCTTCGCCGGCGAAACGACTTCATTCACTGGACGCTCATTCTTGCCTTAGAGTACTTTTAAAATTGTCTAGAGTAACCAACAATACCTTAACGACGAAACTACATTTCGATTATTCAGTTTTCGCATTCCGTAATTCTCCTCTTAGCCACCGATGAAGAAGTTTGAAAGTTCAGTGATAAATATGATAATTTTCTGTCGAATCCATAGTAAACTATCATTTGAAGTTATTAGCAAAAATTTCACTGACTGTATTCTATACAACTCTATTAAAAAAACAGAAATGGCTTTTGTAAATGGCTTGGAAAACTCATTTACATAATTTACCTTCTTCACTGAACGTGGTACAACCATTTTGCATTGGAAGAGGTCCATGTCGTTGGTTCGAAATGCTGCCAATAAATGATGACTTTATAATCGGTCGTATGGCTGTGTCTATGACCATCGAATACTTTTCATTTATATAGGAGTTAACTCTTCAATTAAAATTTGTACATACATCTGAAATCACTACTGAAACAAGTTTGAGGTAGAGTTTACGCACATGGAACTAACGGTTCCATCGTCCCACCGTTACCGTTACGTCGTTAGTTGCTCCTTCCAGACAGTTATGATATACTCTATGGCCATAAATGGAGAATCAGCACGTGTACGTTACATTTAGCCACTGCGCTTACACGCATAACGTGAAGAAAAACCCTTTTCAGGATCATCGAGGGAAAGGAAACAAATTTTGTAACAGTTGGCATTCTTAAATTTAGAGGCCCTCCAATCGTTTGATCATGGAGGTTTTTTGTAGCGTGTCTCACTCGTTAGTGCCGTACTGAATGACGCAGTCTTTACAACCAAACATTTATAAATTCAGGTCAGAAATCCAATAGAGGTAGGTCAACGAGAGTCTCTAGATCTAAGTGCAAAGTTGATTTCTATTAGAAGCCATGAAATCGAGTCAGTGATGAATGCAACAGCATCTGAATGCCGACAAGAAAGACGCATTCCGCTTTTATCAGAGAAATGAACTGTGCACTCAAGAAGATTGTTTAAATAACAAGCTCATTCACATCGGTATGCTTTAGTACAGGAAGATTCGCCATCATCATTTTCGCCGACAAACTTCGATAACCACTTGTCCATTTGGGTGGCGGAGACTTTCGGGACCCGTCAGACAGTGCCTGCAATGTTTCTGATCCTGTGAGGCATGTGAATACAAGACGTTACCAGGTTGGAGCGAAGTCCTTCGATAGACACACTTGCCGCAGGCTAATCTTTGCCGTGTCGGGGTCTTCGGTTGGTCGGTTGAGTCATAGCACATTGACCCTTCACATTCACCGGTCGATCCCTTCCTGCCACTTTTAGTCTTCAGCCTCTCAGTTAGTTAGTTAGTTAGTTAGTCAGTCAGAATATGCATGTCTGTCTGTTTGTCTGTCAGACTATAGCTACAGAATCTACATGTACATCAGCACAATGAACGGCAAATTGTAATGCGGGCTATCACAGTGGATCACTAACTGGACCAGCTATTTCTGATGGGTAACTCGTCCGCCTTGCAACTCTATTAATTGCAGATGGAATTAATACGTAAGGCGGACGAGTATTACGTATTAATTCCATCTGATGACTTTCTAATTATTCTTTATTTACGACTATATTTGTACATTACCACGAATACAGCGTATTTCTTGCATTTGCACCAAAAATTGCTAGTTGGCCGCAATTTTTGTTTAATATTGACCTTCTTCATCTTCACGTAGTCTTTCGATATTGCTTGCAACTCGTTCTACTTCTGTCTGGCCGTTTGTTTCTGCGGTTTGATCCATGTTTATGGAGTCATACCATTACTTCGTATGGTGGTTTACAACTTCTGCAGCTCCACTGATTATCATTTTATTATTTCTTGATCCCCCAGAGTTTCTGTGTTGAATTTTCTCTCTACCTGTTCCTCGTTATGTAATCCGTACATTTTTTTGGTTTAAACCTGGCAATTTCAAAATAATATTTGAAAAATAAAGTTTTTCAAATTTCGGCTTGAAACACACCGATAGCCACCAACAGAATGAAAATCACTTGTTACTGCATTGAACGATGACCACGTCACTAGTGAGTAAAATGTAAGTGCTGATATTAGGGACGTCACAAAACAGTTTCTCTGAGATCATCAGTCTTATACTCTTGGTTTGTTTCTTAGCTGGATTTAATATCATTTGTTCCTCTCTGTAACTCGTACCGCTGATCGTTATCAGTGAGAATGAACTCCCTTTGTGACGCAGCCCGAAAACGAGACAACCGCAGGATTGATGATCAGGTGGAAGTAGAACCTTCTGACGATTCAGTCACACCATGTTAACAATCACTTTGGTCATCTCATTGACTAACTTACAACACCTCTTCATGGTAAGTTCTAGATCTCTGAGAGGTACCTATTTCACTACGGAGTCC